GGGAATGAAGTTGTTCATGTTTATGCAGCCCCCACCCCCCAGCCTTCCCCCACTCCTGGTGGGTTATAAGTATTCTTTTTTAAGTGTCCAGCTGAACATTTTAAATGCTGTTTAAAATCTGTAATTTACGGGCAAATCTTCAGAAGAGTTCAGTCATCTCTTGGTGCTGAGGGGGTTTCTGTCTGCAGCAGCCCCCACTGCTGTGCTTTGGGGCCAGTCTCAAAGGCTAGAGTGAAAGACTTAAAATGCCAAAGTTCCCCGTCAACGTTAGATATTTTGTCTCTGGTTTAGTATCTTCTCAAGTTCATTTACTGATTTTATTAGCGAGTCTCTCAAGCCCCCTGTTCGTGTCCAGGAGGTGGCAGTGGAAGAGCATCCATCGCTCCACAAACACTGGGCTCAGGGAGCTCACGGCTCACCAAGGGCAGGATCAAGGGCTGCTGCACAGCACAGCACAGCCAACAGCTGCAGTTCAGGGTGTTTTAACAGGTACCTCCTATCTGCCATGCCCCAAGTGCCAGAATCTGTGGCTCCATAGTTAATAACCTGGAAATGCGTGAGGAAACTTGTTCACTCGAAAGCCAGGAGGAGAAAAGCTCTTCTGCGTGTGTAATTGCTAAGAATTAGATTTCAAGATGGTTTTAATCATTTTAATTACTCAAATGAGTAAAGCATCTGCATATCAAATCCACTACAAATGACTAGAAACATGCAAGATTCTCACAGTGAAGCAAACTAAACAGAATTGTTCCAATGTCATGTTTTGAGTTCATATTTTTTAGTGATTCTGCAGCCCCCTTTTAAACTGCCCTCATGCTGGGAAAACTGCCTCCATGGAAATGCACAAGGAGGTATTAGAGAACTGGAAAGTTTCACATGGCCTGAGCCTGATTCATTTAATTCCAAAATGCTGCAGAAGGATATGACACAATTAATGTCAGAACCACTTGGGGTTATCTTAGGGAAGTCATTTGGTGTAAATAAGCATCAGAAGACTGGAAAGGAGCAAATACATTCAGTTTTTCAGAATGGAAGAAAAAGAATAATTGGTTTACCTTCAAATACCAGAAAAATATTGGAAAGGACAAAGTCTTTGTGAGCAATGAAAGAAAACAAGGCAATGAGGAAGAGTCAAATGGATTTTTCAACTGGAAATGCTCTCAGAACAAACTCAATTCTCTTTACAAATGGGCTCTGGGCCTGGATTGAGAGGAATAATGAACACCATCTAAAGTCACAGAATGAGCTTTGATACCTTCTCATTGAAAAGGGAGAAAAGTAATCAGTATAGATTTGTCTCCTTGCTCAGGCAGATCCCAGGTTTGCAAACAGAGGACACATGACATGGTCTGAAGATTATGTGGTCCTCTCATGCCTCTATTAGATGGCCTGGGCAAGAGAAAATAGATGAGGTAATTTCAATACGAGCAAGAGACCCACTTGGAACAAAAAAGGGGATCATAAATCCATGGGAATGAAATCTGAAACATTTTAGAAAGAATATTAACTGTAGACAGCATTATAGGACTCTGAAAGAAATGTGAGGTCTAAATTATGTGGAATGTCAAATTTTTCATTCACACACAAATATTTTTTTATCAATTTTCATTAATGATTTCCTGTATTTATTTTCCCAAAAGATTAGAAAATACTTTTTTACTCTTTTTTTAATAGGCTGCTTTATTAGTGTCAGATTATTGCTTTAATCACTGTCTTGCATATGTAGGCTCCACCTGGCTTCATGTAATTGCATCTCCTGATGACACAACCTTGGGAAACTTGTTGTTTAATAAGCTGAAGCCTCTCTAAAACACTCCCATCCAGCCCAGCCTGCAGCAGCACTGTCAGTGTTTGACAGGGGGGTCCTGTGTGTGTTTAAAGGCTCTGTCTGGGCTGGGGGACAGCTGATGCTGGTGGAAGGGCACCATGGTCATCAGAGGGGGAGCTGTTGGGAAATGTGATGTAAGGGTTTCCTGGGGGTAGGGAAAACAGGTTTTGTTTCTCTAATGAAGAAATAAATAGTGAGAAAACAGCTGACTAACAGGTTCCAGGTAAACAAGGAATAATTTCCAAGAATACTTTGGTGAATAAAGACCCAGCCACTTTATCAAATGTGTTAATGCTGAATGGTGAAGGGAAACTGATACTAATTTCTTGTGAAGAGATGGTGCTTGATAAACCTATTAGCTCAAATTCAGAGTCTAGTTTTAGCTCTATATTAGGATGATAATCACATGTGCTCTGCCTCATGGTTTGTGCCATGTGGACTCCAATCTCCCTGAGCTGTTTGGAAGAGATATTTCAGATCTTGGATTCTTCCTCTTTCTAGAAACTCTACAAAATGTGTGGAGGGAGGGACTGATGCATCCTGAGGGCCTCTGATCTAGAGAGGGAAACCAGACAAAGTTTTTCTCATTCACAAAGGGAATTTGGGAATATTGTATAATAGGAAACAGTTGAAACTTCCCATGTATTCTATTTTCCCTCTGCTAATGTAGTTTAATCTGTAGGGCTTGCCATTTTTGCTACTGTTTTTAAATAGGTGAACTGTGAAACTCAGTCTAGCTCCACATAACCTTTTGTCCACCTCACTGAGTCTCAATATTTGAACATAAATAACTTCAGTTTTAGAAAGCTGTACTGACACTTTTCATTTAGTTTTCATTCATAGCTGCTTAAAAATTTTAAAACTATTCTTGTTTCAATCCAGCCTTCCATCCCTGTTTTTAAATACCTCGTGTTAGGACTGGAAGAGAAAGTGCTTCCCTAATTATCTCTATTTTCAGCACTGCAAATTAAGCTGTTTGTTGAACAACATGTTGCAGATCCAGCTAAATAATTTTAACACTAAAAAATCCTGTGTATTTCCTTCTTGCCCTCAAACCTTTTGTGCTTTTCTGTTTATTCAGCAAACCCATAATGGTTTAGAAAGCTACCAAATATTCCCCCAGATGTGCCTTCTTCAATGTTGAACAAACAGGAGAACATCTTTTACCCCTCTTAAAAGTTATCTAATCCCCAGGAACCAAGGCATTTTAAGAACTATTAATTTTTTAATGTGGATCCATTCCTTTAACATCTTGGGGGTTTGGGGTTGGTTGCTTGTTTTTTCTGTTGGGTTATAAATTTCACATGTGTAGAGAAGATATTTAGCCTGGGGCTGCTGGTTACTGTACCACTTCTGGAAAGCAGATCTGAGCTAAACCCACAAATCAGATTTAAACTTTTTAAGAGTGAGTGAATGCAGGGGAGCATAGAGAACATCCCAAGGCACTTGTCTGCGCAATGCTCTAGGCCAGGTTTCACCCAAAATGTTGAATGCAAATGTGCAGAATAAGCTCCTGCCTGGCCTGGACGAGCTCTCAGCCCCTGCTGAGGGTGCAAAGGGAAGGTGTGACTTCAAATCCTGCATCTCTGAGTTTGGGTGCCTTATACTGAGCTGAAGGATGATCTCTGCATGGAAAATAATAGCCTGAAATTCAAAAGCCTTTCCTTAAAATATGTGAGGAGGGAGAGGGGGAAGAAGTAAGCCTTCTCAGGCAATAGTGGAAAGATAACTTTTCAGTGTTCTGATGGCTTTATCCAACCAATGATTTCAGGATCTGGGCAGTCTGTCATTTAATCCCCGTTTCTTCTAAATTTTTGGGTGTTACAGACATTTAGGCAGCACTTACAGGTGGGTAGTGCCATTCCAAACTACTTCATGTGAATAGTTTCGTCATTTAGCAATAAACAAAGAGTGCTAAGAACTGTGAAATAATGCAAGTTTTGTCAGACACTGTTACAAGGGGGATTTTTTTGGGTCAGAACTCTTTGGAACAGTGCTTTTCACAATGCCTTAAAAGCAAAGAAACCCATATTTTTGTCACTGCAGCAAAACACAGGTCTTCAAAATCTTCCCTGCACTTTGTGTTGTTGTCAGAACTTTGGCAGGTGATGATTTGCATTTCCTCTGCCTTCAGTCTGTGACAATTTTCCAAGAGGAGACAGTATCAAAGCAATCTAGAATTAGCTGTGACAAGTGACAGTTGCATGGGTGGCACAAAAGGCTTTTACAAATAGACATTATTTTATACAACAGACATTAATACATGTTTTAATGAAGAAGTGATTCACAATGATAGTATAATTGATTTGTTAAGATTAAACAGGTCTGCCATATGCTGTCTAGTGCTTCAGATGGTTTCAAATTTATTTTTCTTTTTTTAATCTATGCATATTAACAACAGATGTTGAATTTTAAAATGATCCAATAATTGAGGGGAAATCATTCCAAAGCTGAGTGATAATTTCGTCATGTTAATGATTTGAAATACTTTGTATGTGTTATATATTGGTTATTTAGCTCATAACTCTTGCACATGATATTTAATTTTTGTCACCTTACTTCATTCAGTTTCCTCTAGTTGCTGAGGAGTGGGCTGAGCACTTGCCTTGGAACTCCATCCCAAACCTTTCCATTATTTTTGTTAAAAAACCCCTTTGACAAGTGCATCTGCCCTCAACTCCTCTGCCTCTAGACTGCACAGAAATGGGATGTGGACCTCACTCTAATGCTCCTGCTTTTTCCTGTTGCACTGAGGGGAGGGAAGAAAGATACCACAAAGCAAACACATGGAGCTGACACGCCACAAGTGCAGGACCAAGAAGGCTTGAGTGGCTCCTACATTCATTCAGGAACAGCCTCTGGGTGATTACAGATTTTCCCTTTGGCTGGTATTGTTAGCTTGAAGTTCAGAAATTTATTATTTTTTTCTTTCTTTGTTGCCCTGCATGGGCCCAAGATGGGGTTGGCTCACAGCACAGTCTGCGCTTCTCCTTCCCACTCCCAAATTCGAGCTGTGGCTGGTGGCAGCCTGGGACAGTGCACTGTGGCTCCTGTGTCGTTTGCTCTCACATTTTCACCTGTCTCATGGGTGTGATGGAGTAAACAAACACATTTCCCTGTGGCTGAGAAGCTCTAGGAAGAGACACAACACCTCGAGCTGATCAACGCATTCAAACTCCTCCTGCTGCTGGGAGCCACCAGCTGCCTTTCCAGCATCTGGAAACCCAGAGCTGAGCTCAGCAGCAGGGGCAGATCCCATCTCCACACTGGAAAGCCACAAACTTCTCTTTGCAGTCCTCTTGCTGCTATGTGTCCCCAGTGCCTCATGGAAATGCAGAAATTGTAGGAAATGTAGGTGTAGAGATTTTTGCCATTATCTCTTTCTGGATATTCCCTGCAGAAATTAACGGGAAAAAAAAAAAACAAAACATGGGGAAATTACAATGTGATAATTAACATAAACAAGATGCAAAGGATGGAGAGCCCAGTCAGCTGCAGATAACAGTGATCCCAAATTGATTTCCAGTGGGCTGGAGACATGAATCAGGGAGCTCTTGAGTGTGTGTTTTATTATTTATATAGATTACTAGTTTCATTAACTTAATTTGACAAAGCAAGCTGTAGAAAGGGAAAGTCAATCCCATCTGCTTCTTGGTGAAGAGAGTAAATTTATAGATCCTAAAGGGACATAACTCCCAATGAGATACATTTGAGCTTCATGCCCTTAATATCTCAGATTTTGCCCTGTAGGGAGGCAGCCTGACTATCAAGTAATCAGTCCTGAATCATTTAGGTTGGAAAACACCTCTAAGAACATCAAGTCCAGCTGTTAAACCAGCACTGCTAAGCCCACAACTAAACCATGTCCCCAGGTGCATCTACACATGTTTTAAGTCCCTCCAAGGATGGTGAGTCCCCCACTGCCCTGGGCAGCCTGTTCCAATGCCTGACCAGACATTTGGCGAAGAATTTTTTCCTAAAATCCAATCCTTGTGTAAATCTGTATGGTTTCCTAAAAGAGAAAGTACTTAATCTTTATTTTTCTTCCCCAGGAAGCAATGAGAAAATGCCAATATTCCTAATTTCAGTGGCAACAACCTTGAGGCTCCTGCTTCCACTGAGTAGTTGATCAATAGCTTCAAAAGTCTGGGGCAGAGTTAGGAGAGCAGGGAAACAAATAATACAAAATTTTATTGAAATCAGCCTGGGGAAGCCTGTTCCATCTGGTTATGTCACCACACAGTAAGAATAGACTTCAAACCTGCTCCTGAGACAAGTATTGTGATAATGCTTTCCAAAGGAAAAGTCCCATTAGTATAGGATTGATACCTCAGATGCATCTTCAGCTCCTCCCTGGGACTTTCAGTGAAGCATCTTATTGCTGTGGAGAGAAATCAGGTACAAAGGATCAGAGTTAGTGATGGTTGTGACCCAAAATGAGGTCACTGAGCGTGGGGAGAGGTATTTACTTGAGGTAAATATAAAAGCCAGAGCTACAAGTGTCAGGCCAGGCTAGCTGCAGATCCCCACAGCAAATGGTTCAGTTCAGAGCTTGTGTGTCTTGCAGAAGGAAGAAAGAGCTTTAGAAAGCTCTCCCTCTCTGTATTTTTTCCATTAGGCAGAAACACTTGCTTTGACCCTTGAGCAACCTTTTCTCCAGGGTAAGGAGGAGGAATGTGATTACTTTTTTTTCTGAGAAAAGAAAAAGATAGTGAGCAGTGAGAGGGGAGGGCTGAAGGCAAAAGTTTTTACTACATTTCTTCATGCAGAAATGGCCAGGATGGCAGTGGCTTTACCACCAGCATGTTGTTTTTGTCCCTACCCTCTTCTCCTCTGGTGGGGAGATTGATTGATGCATTGTACAGTTCTCTCCGGTTCTGCACTTTTCTTCCCCAGCTGCAGGTGCGCCATTTTCACCATTAGACAACTAATTATAACTCACCACTGACACCTCAACAAGCAAAGTTTGCTCAGTTAAAACTGTACAGAGCACCTGTTGCTCAGCAGGTATGAAAAACACCAGCTTTCCCCAGTGCACCTCTGAGCTGAGAAGCACTCACCCCGCTCCTGTCAGCAATGACCCTTGGCAGGAGCTGCTTTTGCCCACCCAGCTGAACTGCCATTCCCCAAAAGTGGTACAAATGTAACCCTGAGTTTTCTGCAGCCAAGAACAAGGAAAATTGATTTAAGGCAATGCATTACACAGACCAGTTAGTCTTTGGTGACTGTTCAGAGTAGATAAACCTGAGGTGGGGGAGAGACCAACTCTACCTGACCCTAACTGGGGTTTGTTGTTCTCCTTTGGCTGCCTGATTTCGACTTTAATAAGCTTTGGTCACTTCCTTGTCTTATTCCTGATCAAACACTGACTTATTTTCTATGTGTACCATGAGTACATTGCCTTTTAATGCCAGCCCCACTCTTGACCACAGGAATAGCTTATGTTTGATCAAGCTCTAGCGTAGTAAAAAAGTTTATCAAGTTTTGAACTGAGCTACTCTACAAAATAAAAGCATGCCATGATTTCTTAAACTGCAGTTAAAAAGTATTCCATCAAAAACGCTTCAGTGATGAGCCCTGGTCCTTCCAAGAACTGCAGCAGTTCCCTGGAGAGGGGTGGAGATTATCAAACACATTTCACATGACAGCTTTCAATATATTTATTTGCATAACTGGACTACAGAATGCATCAATGTGCCTCTAAATCTTATTATTGTTTATTACTCAGGATATCAGTCAAAACAATTAAATTGGGCAGAGATTCTTGGGGTTCAGTTAACAGAATTGAGACTCAGCAAATGTGGCTGTGCTTTGTTCTCTGCCCTGTGGAACCCCCAGACCTCAAGCCCAGGACTGGACTTCCTTTGTGCAGAGAAAGCCTGGGAAAATGGCATTACAGGACTGAGGTGGACCAAGGGGGCTGTGGAGGAGAGAAAAGGAGCTTCAGGAGCCCACAGCTGGGGAATCAGATCGTTTCAGGGTGCATCTGAAATCCTGCTAATGAGGAGGGCCTGAAACAAGGGCAGGCTGTGAGCTTTCTGCTGCAAATTCACATCCTGACAGAATCAAGGCATGCACAGGTTAAACCAGCACTTAGAGGGTGTCAGCTGTGCTGGGCATCTCCAGGAGCTGCCAGACCTTGGCACTGCTCTAACAGCAGCTCCAGAGGCAGCTGGAAGGGCGATATTCCCAATGCATCCATCACTGTGGGAACAATCTGTGCACTGAGCAGCCTTTCATTTCTGTCTCAAAGACAACCAAACAGAGAGAGAAATCCTTGTTTGCTTCATGCAGCTCTCTGCAGTCACCCTCTCCAGTCACTGTCATTCAGGAGAACATGAATAAACCAAACTGCAGTGATGGTAAATGAGGGAAAAAATGAGGAGGAAAAGATCCCAGGCCTGCTGTAGTTATGAAAGTCTGGGAAGATTCCACTGGGCTTTGGATCCTCCTGGGTGACAGCACTGTGTGTATTCAGTTCAGGAGGTTGTAGACCTTATTAGCCTGCTCAATGTAAATTAACCTTTACAAACTGAAAAATTAGCTGTTTGAACTTGCTTAATTGCACAGAAGAAAAAATCTCTAAAAATCAAGATTTTTTTGTTATTTGAAGCTGCTTTTTGCATTGTTGTTTCAGTGCTCTCTTGCTGTCCTGCTCTGTGACTCTTTAAAAGAGTCCTGAAAATGAGATTGAAAAGTTTTTAAAATTAGGTTGGTTTGTTTGGAAGTGGGCTTTTTGACTTTTCAAAGTGACCAGTTATTCAAATAAGTTACTATAATGACTTTCAAGGAAAAACCATTTCCTGAAATTCAGCAAAAGCAAAACATTCTTTTGAAGGTCACTCAAATCTTTAAACTGAGCTAAGCAAGGCAGACACACATAATCAGAGTGAATGCAAGTAATGCCAAATTTAAATGAACCTTCTTCATTCAGTGCCTCTGCAATCAGCTCTTACTGTCCTTATCACCAGGAGTAGAAAAACTTGAAATTGCAGGAATTTTGTGAAAAGAAATTTCAAATGTTTTCCCAACACTTTTCCCAGGGTGTGTATACGGATCTGGGGGATTTTTTATCAGATTAATTTTACTGAAACACAATGAGCAGAATTATTTTCACAGATTCACAGTGGGAGAGCATTTACAAACTAAAGCAACCATCTTTTCTCTCCCCTCCCCTCATGTCCATTGGTATTGCCCCCAGCAGAGACCTCTCTGGCCTTGTGCAGGTATGGTCAGAGAGATGCCCTTGCTGACCATGGCCAAAACAGCGCCTGGACTGTGCTGATTTTTTGGCTGATGTCAGTTCAGTACCAGGAAGTTTCTCATGCTATCCCAGACTCCAGCTGAGCAGGTTGGAAGGAACCTCTCAGAACCAATATCTGTTGTCAGAATATTGTCCTGTACACTTAACTGTTATACCAGATATTTTCAGGGAGGAAGAGACTCGAAACCGTTAGGTTGGTTATAGCTTCTAACTCCTTTTGAAAGGTGAATGTCAAAGGAAATTGTTTCTTCCCAAAAGACTGCTCCAGAGGAGAGTGCCTGTCCCTCCTCTCTGTTTGGCAGCTCTTTCTTTGACTGGCCATGCAATGCTCATGCTTGGCTCAATATCCACAGCCCCTTCACCCTTCTGTCTCTTAGGGCACCTCCAGAAGGGTAGAGCCAAAGCCTCTGGCTCTCTCTGGAGATCAAAGCTGATGGCAGCATTGCCACATGTCAAAATAAGTTCCTCAAGGAATGAATGGGATCTGTCTCGGCACTGACAAGGCTGTGAGGACAACGCAGCTGACTTGCAGTAGGGTCAGAGAATTGGGACTGCATGAGGCAATGGCCCTAACTCAAAAAGGACTACAGGAGTGTTGTGAGTCCTCTACCCTAGAGCCTGTGCCAAGGAATGGTAGACACACAAATTTAATTTTTACCCAATCCAAAACTCTCCCTCTTTGAGGTATTTAGGCTTCATATTCATCCTTGCTTCTCTTTGTCCCCAAAACCCATCTCTGTACTGACAGTAATATCCAAAAGAGATAGGAAGGATCCCTGTAGCTTATTGTGCTTACATCTCCTTGGCTTCTAACTTCAGTCAAAGAAATAAAGATATTTTTGAGGCATGACATCTGCCTGTCATTCTCCATTAGAAGTAGAAGTGCTGGGGAAGATGCACACGGGACTTGTGTTGTTATAATTGAGCCCTAAGGGCAAATGTCAGGAATGAGGGCTAATTAAAAGCGGAAAAGACTTACAATGTTAATATACAAAGGAGGTGCACTCCCACCAGCTCTCGTTTACAGCACCACACTGGCCATAATGCAGTTTGTAGCTGGTCCGATTTTCTTCTTCCTCCAGGCAAACATTTTTTTCAGCTCTCCCCTGAAGCTGTCATGGAGCCAGGCATAGAGGAAGGCATTGGTACAAGCAGACATCATTGCAAACCAGTGGCACAGCAGCTGGATGAAGTTGAAGTACTGCTTGTCAATCAAGCTGATGTCGATGTCCTTTATCATGTTGAAGATGTGCAGGGGCAGCCAGCAGACTCCAAAGGCTGCCACCACTAAGACCAGCAAGCGAAAGGTCTTTCTCCTCCTGGCACGGTCCCACTCAGCTTGGCCCTGGGTGACATTGCCTGGGACTACACGGTTCTTCAGCTTGACTGAGATCCTCAGGTAGGACAGGGAGATGACAGCCAAAGGCAGCACATAGGTGATGATGAGGGTGCTGTAGGCATAAGCCAAGCGATCTCTTTTCATGTGGAACCAAAACTCCTCGCAGATGGAGAAGTCCAGCTCTGGGAACTCCGCGTGGTATGTGTGGACCAAGGCTGGGGCAGCCAAAGTGCAGCTCAGCAGCCAAATAGCAGCCAGGATGTAAGCACAGATGGGGATGGTGAGCCTCCTGCGGAACGGGTACACCGTGGCACAATACCTGTCCACAGCTATGACAGTCAGGGTGAAGACAGACACAAACACGGTGACAGGTTGCATCAGGAAAACAAAGTAGCACATGAAGCGCCCGTAAACCCAACCCCGGGGCTCAAAAGCATAGGCCAGGGTCAGGGGCACACAGGTTGCACACATGAGCATGTCTGAGAAAGCCAGATTGCCTACCAGAAAGTTGGTGACATTGTGCATTTTTTTTGTCTTGCAGATGACATAAATGAGAAGGTAATTCCCAATGACTCCAATAAAAACCACCAGCGAGTAGCAGGGGATGATGAGTGGCTTGAAGGACTGAACAAACTGGAGCCCCGAGAATAAATTGCTGGTGTTGCTGTGAATCGCAGAGAGGAAGCTTTGGGAGGTTAAATTGTCCGAATTCATCGTTTTCCTCCTTTTGTTGTCTGCCGTCAGCTGAGTGAAGTAGTTAGCACCGCGCTGCTCCCGCGCTCGGTCGGTGGGATAATGAATGGATTCCTGCCTGTCCAGAGGTTACCACATGGATGGTAAACAAGCAGCCGTAAATGCAGAAGGTGAACTTGTAATCCTCGAGAGGCAGATTTTAGCAATTCCTAAGAAAAATCAAATAAAACCAATTTCCATTAAAGTCCTCCTTTAGTATTTACTATTAAATCTAGCTTTTGACAGCATGCCACTTAATAAACATTTAATGCAGTGAGTACTTACTGCTGTGGGTTTGTAATCCCATATGATTTTCCTGTGGATGCCAAGAAGTGCCCTAGATGTCTGTCTTCTGCAAATCCAGGAGAGAGAGTGTGTGTGTGTGTGTCAGAGAGAGAGAGAGAGAGAATATATGAGTGAGAAAGAGGGCGATGCGCATTTACAAGCTAAGTGGAGATCACTGTTTTTAAATAGTCTTCACTACTAGGTCGTGACAGATTTGTGTATAAGCTTTTATCCCCATTGGCTGCCCTGGGTATTACGTTGCTCTTTGTGTGTTTTTTGATGATAGTAATTAGTTCTAGAATATCCTTTTAAAAATACCCTTCTCCTTCCAGTGCATCTATAATTGCCCCTCACAGCTAAAAATCAATTTACTTTCATTAACATTAGCCTGCACAGTATCTAATCCCAGATTCGCTTTGCCAGAGCCTCCAGAGTGTCCAAAAATACTACCTGTAATTTTGTTGTTTTTGTTGCTTTGTAATTTATGTGACTGTAAACCAGAATTTTAATCACATCCTGAAGGCAAATAAATGTTTGTGCCACTAGAGGGTCTCAGCTATGTACCTGAGAACAAAGTTAGGATTAGAAATGTGCATTTAGCTTGAAGCACAAAGGATCTTATTTTACCTAAATTTATTTTCCACTGGTGCTACAATGTTTGCTCACCCACTATGACTATTTTCAGTAGGATTTACACATCTTTAAAAGAAAGCAAACATGTGAGCATCTCAAAGGAAATATTAGCATCCAAATGGGTTGGATGTAAGGGTTTACCTGCAGAGAACTACAGAATACAGAAAATATTTATGGTGTTTCTTTATTCCTGCTTTAGGTTTTTTAACCTTTTCTATACCAGACAAAAGTACTAACCTATCTGTAAAACAATCTATAGTTGTTTTGCCTGGTTGAAACATTAGAAAGCAAAAAAATCAGGATAAGTACTTACAGAACATTTAATTAGACATCTTCATCTGGCTCTTGTTCTAATTCTCCCTTAACTTTTTTCCATTTCAACCCAGGACCAGGACCTCATCTGGTGAAAAACAGTGAAAATCCATGGCATCCATTTGTACTGGCTACAGAAACTAAAAAAAAATCCATGGAGCAGCCTAACTTCTGAATGCTTCAGAATAGATAATATTGTTAGGTTCTGCAAGGCACTCAGGGGATTTAGACACAATTTTAAATGACAGTTTATGTCCTAGTCAGTTAGACATAGGAAATATTAACCCATTATTTTCTAGGAGACTATGGGCAGAACCATATCCTTTCGATTTGATGTCATTTAACATAAATGAGAAGTTTAAACAGATTTCATCTTTGTCCTACTCCTTTCCCTCGTCCTAAAACAGAAGCTTATCTTGTGTAGCCCTTGTTCTGATCAGAGACCTTCTGCTTGTGAAAGATGGGAAACTCAAACATGGCAAGTGCTGGTTCTGTGCTGCTGCGCCCAAGGCTAGATCATGCCCTGGGCTGGACCATGGCTTCAACTCCAGCCTGAGGGGAGAACGAGCATGTAGCCCCATTGCTCAGGAGTGTCATCCTTCCCTTCATGTCTACAGCCATGTACCCATGACCCAGACTAAAACTGGGATGCTATTGCCCACTTCAGAGTCCAGTCTCACCTCTCTGAGCTCTATGAGACCTGGGGGAATACTGTACCTGTTCATCTCTACGTACCCAAGCTCAGAATAGGAGAGGGACCTGAGGGTAGAGGTTGCAGAGAGGCAAGGAGATAGGAAATTCCACAACAACACTGCTTGGTGATAAGCAGCATGCTGCAGAATTCCTAAACCCCATAAATTCAATTGCTCCATTTAATGTGGGAGAAAAGCATGGCCTGGTTTAAAGTAAGATTGCAGTAGGCTTTGTCCATGGCCTCTCGTAGAAGCCAAGACATAAAAAAATGAAGGAGGGGCATATATAAAAGATATATATATATATATATATATATATGTAAAAGGCCTTCATACTGCCCACATCCTACTGGAATGACAAGGCTTGTGCAAGGAAAGAAGCCTCACAGTAATATCATTGCAAACAAAATAATTGAAAATTTCATTTTTAACTAAGTGTTTTGTTTTTTTTTGTTCCCAAGAGCTGCAGAGTAGATCCCATAAATAACCTCATTGTATTCCTATAAAGAAGAAAAAGGTTATTCTTCACTATACGAGAAAAATCAAACATAGTATCATCTCAAGAAGCCTTCAAGGTCACCTTAAGGCTCAGGTCACAAAACTAACCTTATATATTCTTTTATTTCAAGCTGTACCAGGAAATCTTGCATTTTCCCTTGCCTTTAAATTTATTTTCTTCGCCTCTGAAACCAGTAACTGGTACACCTTCTGTTTGAAGGCTCCCACCTATTTCTCCTAGTGATTTTCTGTTTGTTTTGGCTTCAGGCAGAAAATGTCTTCAGTTCAGCTGTGTGCCACAGCCAAGGTCAGGAAAGATAATATTTAATAGGAGCTTGAATAGAAAAATATTCCAGCAATTTATCCCAAGGAAATAATATTTTCTCCTTCTAAAACTGCAAATATTAATTTTGTTTAGAATTTCCAAGGCTATCTGAGAGAGTCCTTCCTGAACAGACTGTAAGTCCTTTTCACATACAGAATTTTCTCATTAAAAGAGAAAAGGTCACAGAAGCTGCATTACTGTCATATTAGAACTATTTTGACATTCCAAGTGTATAAGGGTGTCACGCACAGGAATGATGATGAGTGTCTGGTTGAAGCCCTGGTCTTGAGCCAACAGACAATGTTAGATTTAGAGCTAGACCAACACTTCACAGAAATGTTTCACAGCTTAGCTTTCATTATCTCTTATGCTAACCTGTCCAGCTTTGCACAGAAATTCTGAGTACAAACACTGGAAGTTGCTTTTAGGTATTACAGACCAAAATATTTTCTTCTGTCATTAAAGTCTCCCAATTTCAGCTGTTAGTTTTCCATGTTCCTATTTATTTGTCCTTTTTTTTTTTTTTTTCTCCCCATAAATCACATCTCTTTCTGCATCAAAGAGCTACTTTAATAATTCTTTCACATTCTTCCAGGAATGTTCTGTGTAGAACAGATCACGCAGTTCTTGCATAGCCTATAATAAAAACAGATGATTTGCATATTTTGAATGATGTCAGGCTGGTGGTTTCTTTACCAAATTCTTCTTTTGGCCAGCCAGGGAACAAGATCTTATTTCACACAACAATTTTAAGTCAGGACATCTTGTCCCTCCCCCATTGAAGCATACAAATGCATCCTGTCTGTCTCTGTTGTGGATTGAGACATCACAGTCCCTAAACTCTAAGAACCATGTTTACAACTATGGGGGGGTTTTGTTTGTTGTTTGGGGTGTTTTTTGTTGGCTAGGAGTTTTTTTGATTGTTGCTGCTGCTTTTCTCAAATTCAAAGGATCAAACTTTGATAAACACAGGAATTACATTAAAATGATTCACTATAGATAAAAGAGCACATGAAGTGGAGATCCTGTAATCTGATAGCAGTTTTATAGAAGGTTTTAGACTAGATTTAAGGACAGAAGAAAGCACACAAAAGAGAGAGAGCAGACAGAATAGGATACCAAAGGAAGATTTTGTGAAATTAACTTTCCATCTATGTTGTTAAAATGATTTTCTCAACATAGAATATGTAGCAGTTCTCAGTTTTGGTTTGTGTAATTTATGAAGAATTTTAGAAGAAACCATCCTCTATATTGGAGGAAATATCCTAAGAACTGTGAGGCATGCAAAGAAAAGAAGCGTCTATGAAGAAATTGAACAAAAAAAAATAAATAAAATACAGCAATCATTCATGGTACTCAATAACCTTTTTAGGATTGACCAGCCCTGGTAGCTCTTTTAATTTTACCATGTTAACACAAAAAAAGGTCTTCACCAGGTGAATTTGGTAGAGACACCAAGTTTGAAATCAAAGACCACATGGCAGATGACTGCACGATTAAGCAGTGAAACTTGGAAAATCTGAGGGAGAAGGAAAACCTGTCATAAAAGACAAAACCAAGGTCACCATAATAAGAATTTTCACTGTGGCTTATGACAAAGCAAATTGGGTCATGGGTCTATAGAAAGGATCAGGCATTTGAAATGCAAACAAAAGAAAATCTACTGCTCTCTGAGAGTTCTCAGGCTGAATTTGCCTCTTCTTTCTTACCACCCCTGGACAATTTTCTTGTTATAAGTGTCTATTCAGCAGAGCTGAATTGGACTGTATTCTTTAAAAGCACTGGGGAGGATGGTAAACTCCAGGGCAGGAAAACACATATTTAGAGAAAGGAACAACACTAGTGAAAACAAATTCACTTTGGGCAAATTTAGGATGGAAAGTAGAACACTTCTAGGTTGGAGGGCAACAAATTGCCCCTTGTAATTGCTTTCCTTTTAAACAACCAGTGTATTATGGGGGATAAAAATATCCATGTGGACTGACTTCATGCATGAGGCATGGCTTTCAGGTGGTTCCTTTCCATCCTTCATCAACACAGGTTTAGGACTTTACTCACTCCCACTCGAAAATAACTCCACTATCACCTTTTTCAGCAGTATTCCCATTGATAATAGGAAGATAAAATTCAAAAGATAGAATCAAAATTTATATACCTGCACACCCACCCACATGGGCACAGCTAAATCTTAGTATGTTTCTAGTATTCTTTGTCATTTTCCAGTGGGGAGGTTGTTGCAGTAGTGCCTATGAAGATCTACTAGAACAGCACATAAACATTTGCCTGACAAACTTTTCCTGCTGCTGGCCTCAGCACCAGCAGCACTGCTCAGAGCAGCTGATTTTCAAAGCAGGGAGAAAGGCAGGGTCAGCACAGTCACTCTGTAAAATCATTTAAGTCACAAGGCACTTCAGTCAGTACAATCACTGATTCTTCTTTCTCTGATCTGCCTTACTGCAAAATTGCTGCTGAGAGACTTGATACAAGCAGCCCTGATTCCCCCACATCCCCAAACCCTTAATATTTTCTTTCTCAGCCAAACCCACGCAGGAATTAATGACCAAGAAAAAGCTGATTTTTATTGTTTTTTAATGCTGGGTTTTAGTGTGCAGTTATGAAGGATTTTTTTTGTTTCTGTGTGTGAACTGTTGTTGGGGGGGAAGGGTGGTTCGTATTTTTTTAATTTCTAAGAAAGCAGAGGAGAC